TTGAGAGGGGGGGGGGGGGGAGGTGAATGATGTTTTTGGGTTTTGAAAATTTTTTGGGAGGATTTTGGGGCGATTGAGGTGACGATTGCAAACGGTTGTTCAGGTTTGATGGTTGATATATTTGGAATGAATGATGCGATTTGGATTCAATAGGGGGAATTTTTAAGCTTGGAGAAATAGCTTGAGAGGGTAGAAAAATGGAGGATTTCGACTCTACCGTTCTCGAGTTATTGATCATTGAAGATGGTATGGATTATTGGGGTTTGTAATGGTAGGTGTGGGAATGTTAAGATTTTAGGATTGAGGATTTTAGGATTAGGAGGGTGGGAAGTATATCGTGTTGGTAGATTTGAAGATGGGATGATATAGGGAATATAGGGAAAATATGGGATTTTATATTTTGAGGGTTAGGGGTATATCAGGATTAGGATGTTATCGTTTTAGGAATGTTAGGATTGAGAATATGAAAGTATCAGGAATACGAAAATGATAAAAATATCACGAGATGAGAAAAATTATAGCAATATTAGGAAAATCGGGGGTATTTTATCAGGATCCGGAATATATTTGGATTAAGATCAGGATTAGGATTAAGATAATGAGAAATACTTAATCGTATCATATTTAGATTACAAATATTATAATAGGAGAATTGAGAATGTTTAGGAAAACGAGGAATATTCTATCAAGTCTAGGAATAGGAATATATTAAATATCTAGACTAGGAGTAGAAATATATTCAGATTAGGACATTGGGATTTTAGGAATATTAGGATTGAGAATGTGAAAGGATCAGGAATTCTAAAATCGTAAAAATATGACGAGATGAAAAAAATTATTGCAATATTAGGAAAATTGGGGATATTATATCAAGACTAGGAATACATTAGGATTAGGATCAGGATTGCAAGAATGATAGATATATGATAATGTCAGGATTATGAATATTTTGATTTCAGAATTGAGAATATTTAGGTGAATTAAGAATATATGGAGACCAGGAATATGTTAGGATTAGGATTAGGGTATCAGGATTTAAGGAATATCAGGATTAAGAACACAAAAAAATTTTAAACACCAGAATAATTACAATTTATCGAGATGAGGAATGTTGGCAACATTATATCAGACTTAGGAATGCTGCAATATCACGATATTAGGATTATAAACAGAATTTTAAAAAATGTTGAAAGTAAATGACGAATAATGTAGCTACTAGGGTATCAGGGCCTTCACATCCACTATTGAGAATACATTCTAGGACATCAGGTTTGAAAAACATTCATTCGTACATAACCATCACAAGAAGGATAAATAATTCTTTGAATAATAATATATTACCCTGAAAACGCACTCTCACTTCACGATGTCTTCACTCCATAGATGTCGAACGAATTTTCACTCATACGAGAAACTTGTGATGCTTCCTTGCCTGGGGAAAGGTCGCATGGACAATAATCAATGATATTTATGTCTGTGTACCCTCCGGCGTGGTCGTAATTAACTCTAAACACAAATACATGGAATGGCTTGAAAATGTACAGCTAAAGAGATTATGATTCTCGTACAGATACTGATATAGCCATACTTTTACGGACAATCGTGTCGAAGTTATTCGAAAGTATGAGCTCTTACTACTTCACACGATATTTTATCATTATACGCATGACCCCCTGGGGGCAATATTTTTCAATTTGTCAACAAAATTTCTACATTTTTTCGAATTATTTTTGAATTCTATTGTTCTATAGTTAATTAGAGATAGGCGGTGGCGACAGTGATAAGACATTGAATGTTGTTAATAGTCTCATTAGAATGATTGGGAAATTTCGGTTGAACTTACAAAGAATGTGAAACAACTCATCAATAACCCGCTTAATTTGAAGGTGGGGAGGCGCGGGGGATCGAATACATTTGTCTTTTTTTCATGATTTCGTTTTTTTTTCAATTTTCAAAATGTACTTTTTTTATAGACAATGAAATTCGGACTTTTGAAGTTCAAATACAGAAAAAAATGCTTCATTTGAATTAAAGAAACTTTATTTAGATCAAATAAATAGTGTTTTTTGAGTAAATTAATGTTTTTTCGATTCAAATAAAGATGCCAATTAACACTTGTTATGTTGTTTTTATGACATTTTTCATGTCGCGATGTTGGATGACATTCTCGTTATATTGTATTAAAAATGTCAGTAGATATGGCTTTATTTGGATCAAATAAATTTTTTTTAAAGCAAAATCATGTTTTTCAGTTCAAATGAAGACTGCATAAGTTTGAAAATTTTCATTTTTTTTATTTTCAAGAAAATACATGAAAATAAATTAATGAATATTCCCATCCCCCCACCGACTCCAAGTGTCGCGACTGCGATCTCAAACTATTTTTTATGAGTCCTTTCTGATGACCCCCGAATAATCTCCAGGTAAAATATCTCCAAAAATATAAGTATTCCACTTTTCCGTTCAAACCTAGTAAGTCATAAACCTGACCTTTCCCAAATTCACAGCAGACGATCTGAAGAATGAAAGTGAAAAGAAAAATTCCCTGTCTGTATCCCAAATCTAGGTCAGTTATCTCTAGTGAAAATAGAGCCACAAAGGGGAGAGATGCCCCCTCTAAATTTTTCTGTTCCCCGAAAAATCCTGTAATTCCTTGGAAATGCATGTGCCGAGTGCAAACATCCACATCGAAAAAAAATTTATTACTGAATTGAAAATGAGGATTAAGTACCTGAGTAGTTTTGAGGGGGAGAGGGGTACTGGAGCATTAGCAATTGTCGTCATTGTGGCCACCGAGCGGAAAAGGTCGAAGGTGCCATAAAGCAATGATGGCCCTCATCGTGCCGAAACTGTTAATCGGGTGTCCCTTTTTGGGTTTTACAGCTCCACATTCTTCCGCTCTTTTAATTAAAAATCGAGGTACTTTTGTGAGTTCAACGGTGATCGTTGTAATAATAAAAACCGTTATAAAATTGTTTGAATGGAGCAGGCGTTTTTGCTTGACGAAAATATTAACGGTACAGGGCTTAGGTAGACTGAGTTGTAAAAGATATATTTTTTTATTGTTGTGCGGGAAAAAAACGTCTGGAAAATTTTTAAGTTTTTTATTTTCACGGGGATTGCCCCTGGGGACTTCAACGCTTGGACAAAACTGTGGGAATGGTTGGGGCAGTGCGCCGACAGAGAGCGCCACGGGGACTGTTCGAGTATCGAACGGCTGTGGAGAGTATTACACTGCGGAGTATTGTATGTATAAAATTAAAATAATTAAATGAAAAAATTGAATTGAATTTTTAATAGAAATTTATGAATAATTGAGAAATTATTTATTAGGGGATAGACTAGAGGTTTACATTATAAAATGGGTAATTTCGTATTTGTTGAGGAGATGATGTATTTCTCTAGTCTGAAATTTCATTCTCGAGGGAGGAAATTTTATATAATATTTTTTATTCAGAGGAGATCGGGTTGGATAAGATGTTTAAGAGGAGTGAGTGATGATGAGATTATTGGGAGGAGGAGTCGAGGCGGCTCGTTGGTCTAGGGGTATGATTCTCGCTTCGGGTGCGAGAGGTCCCGGGTTCAAATCCCGGACGAGCCCGGATGACTATTTTTTTTTCTTTCAGAATCTATTTTTTTGTTGTTATGATGAATTAATGATTGTTTTTCATTTTTTGTGATTTTAGGGGGCGGTTTCCCCTAGGTTATGATTCCTGTATGACCTTTATATGACTCCCATATAATTCTCCTGACCCATATGATCTTTATGGGTTTTTAATGCTTATGAATGTGTAGAATATCTAGGATTATGACCTTTATGGGTCAAGGGTTATAATCTGACTCTTATGAGTCACGGGTCATAATCCGTTCTTTATGAATCGAAGGTCATAATCTGATCTTTATGAGCCAAAGGTCATAATCTGATGCTTATGACTTATGAATCAAGGGCCACAGTCAGACCCTTATGAATCAAGGGTCATAATCTAATTCTTATGACCCTTATGAGTCTGATCTTGATGAGCCTAACCTTAATGATTCTTACGAGTCATAGGTCATCATCTGACTTATCAAAAGCTGACCCTTATGGACATCAGAGAAGATTCTAACCCTTATCACCCTTTCGTACGCTAGTTTATCGTCGTCAGAAGTCGATGTGAAATTTCATATTATACCAATAGTACAAATATCAATAAAATTCAACAATTGAATTTTAACATTTTACATCTAAAT